TTATATGAAAAACTTGGATTTTTAAATCTGAAATAAAAATAAGATTTAAGTTGAAATATTAAAATGACTACAACTAAAATTGAAATACAGTAAACTAATAAAAAGCTAAATGTAAATATAAAAAAGACAAAAAAATCATAAAACATTTACTAAAACTATTAAAAACTGTTTTAATGGAACTGAAACAAAATATAGAAATGAGATGAAATACTAAAATAATAAAACTAAACTAAAATAAACAGAAATACACAAATTACAAAAGAATCACTAAAACTATTTTAATAAAAAATAATTTATAAAAATAAAAAAGTAATTAATAAAATATAAATATTATATGAAAAACTTGGATTTTTAAATCTGAAATAAAAATAAGATTTAAGTTGAAATATTAAAATGACTACAACTAAAATTGAAATACAGTAAACTAATAAAAAGCTAAATGTAAATATAAAAAATACAAAAAAATCATAAAACATTTACTAAAACTATTAAAAACTGTTTTAATGGAACTGAAACAAAATATAGAAATGAGATGAAATACTAAAATAATTTTTTTTTAATTACTAAAACTAAAATAAAGCTAAAAAGCATATAATAAAATTCCTAAAACTTAAACCGAGATTAAAATACAAACTGAAAATATAAGCCAACTCAAAATATCAATAAATACTACAATATATTAATAATAATAAAAAGACACTGCCCAGCACACACACTGATTTGGTAAACATACACTAATGCCAAACTAACCAAAGTTTATGATTATAATTAAGAGTATGATTATGATACTGTGCAGATGAACGGGACTCACATGTTTGCTGCTGACGGCTAGAGCCAGACTGGACAGAACCGGCTCAGACCCGATCCAGAGGAAGAACCCGCCGCTCAGCTTCATCACATGGAAGTGAACGAGCTGCTCCAGAATCTTCTCCGAGAAATCATGCACCGTGATGGGCTCCACGGAGTCTCCGTTCAGCGCCGTCTCCATCCCGAGACCACTTCACCCGACAGTCAACGAACGAACGCGGGATCTCAGAACGAAAGTAAAAGCGCTCGTCGCTCT